ACCTAGGGAGGTGGTGGAATCTCCTTCCTTGGAGGTTTTTAAGGCCCGGCTTAAAGTCATTCTAAAGAATGTTAATGCAAAGGGTGGGAAACAAATTAAAGTATGAGACGAGCACAAGAAATACCTGTTTGGTCCTCAAAATTTTTGTTGTTTATAATAATACATTTGCCAACTTTCTTGTAGTCCATATTATACTTGAATGTTGGGTTAACAATTCGGCACTGGTTACTGACAGGGACCTCTGGCTGCTGTTCCAGTCCATTCTTCTTTTTTCTGTGAGAACAAAACCAGAAGGGATGTTGAATGACAGAAATCACATGCTCTGTAGCCCCTTATCTTATTCCAGAATCACTGCCACACCACCTTTTTTCTTCTTCTTTTACCTACAGAGTCCTCTATATTCTAGCTAGACCCATAAAGATCATCCCATATTTCTCCATACAAAAACTCTGACCCTGCATGTCACAATCATCATCCTTTGGTTTGGGAGTCCAGTTGGAACTACAATCCTGCAGCCTATGGTCCCAGTCACAATCTACCAGCCTACTTCACTGCAAACAGTTCAAGGAAGAAATGATCAGGATTTCTTTGCAGCTATCCCACTGCTGCTCCCCAAAATCAGCCAGAGGATTTTGAGCTGACTTCATGACCTGGCAGAGGCCAATGGACTGACCCAACAGGCCCCTTTGCTCTACAAGCCCTAGGAGTAAGAACGCAGGATGAAAATGTTTCCACTCCTAAAAGTAACGTATGACCTAGTGACAAATGTAAAATTTGACTGCCAATGAAGTATCAAATTCCTATTTTAGAAAGTGAATGTGACTTCATTTTTTGGTTTAAACACCTGTATCTTTAACCTGAGCTAGTGCACTACACTGCACTACACAGCAATCTTTTTATGATTTTCTTATAATACAACACAATTTTAGAAAGATAAAAATACACTTCTTTCATGTAATTACATACTGTGCTTCCTCCTGCGTTATGAGAGACTTCAATTGCATTAGAGTCAAAAGGACCTTTTCTATAGAGAGATGACAGGAAGATTACTCACAGTTTTTACTGTAAGTGAAGTTTTAAAACAAACAAAAACACGGCAGTAATGTTGTTCCTCTAGCTAATTTTAGGTGGGGGAAATGTATGGGAAGTTAGCTGCTATTTCAGGCCCTGATTTTACTATAGGTAGAGACAATGGGGCCTGATCAGTCTGCTGGCAGGACCCTGGCAGCAGGCATCTGGTGCTGGCAAAGGTTTCCTACACAGGGACTGCAGCAATGCAAACTACCTATAGCCTCTACTCCGCTTATAAAACAAAAGTCAGATGATAACAGTCCACAAAGAGCCTGATTTAACCACCTCTGGAGGCCAATGGGAATCTTTCCAGTGACTTCCATGAACTTTGGATCATATGCAACATCTGAAGCGATGGTCAGGGCGGGGGCAGAGAATCAGCAGATCTCTTGGGTTTATCTAGTATCCTGTCTCCAACAGTGTCTGTTGCTGGATGCCCCAGAGGAAGGCATATCTCCTGTCCGCAACACAAGTAACAATATAACACTATATTATAGGGGGAAATTTCTTTTTAATACAAGTGGATGATGGGCCTACATCCTTGCAATTTTAGCCTAATTAACCTAACTACTATTGCTATTCTTATTCCTATATCTAAGCCGTTGTAGAAAATTACTAAGTTATTTGCCTCAACCATATCCTACAGCAGTGAGAGCTCAAGTTGATTAATTGTTGTCTATAAAAAATTGATTTTCTTTCCCCCCCCCAATTTTAGCTTTGAGTACCCTCCTGCTCTACTATTAGGGACAGGTTAAGCAAGAGACCAGGCTGCTCTTCTCAATGCTATTTGTCATTTTTATAAGCAATATCTTTTCCATTTTTAAATGGTTGTCTTTTAACTTTAAGTGTCCTCTTGTTCTGCTGATAGGGGCCGAAGTAAATAGGTGCACCTAGGAGATGTTCTCTGCACCCAGGGCCGGCTCCAGGCACCAGCAAAACAAGCAGGTGCTTGGGGAGGCACATTTCTAGGGGCGGCATTCTGGCACCATAGGCGCTGACTCCAGGGCATAGGGAAAAAGTGCCCCCGCCGCCCCAGCTCGCCTCCGCTCCACCTGCTCCCCTGAGCGCGCAGCTGCCGCTCCGCTTCTCCCCCCTCCCTCCCAGGCTTGCCGCGCGCGAAACAGCTGTTTCGCGCAGCAAGGCTGGGAGGGAGGAGAAGCCAAGCAGCGGGCTCTCGGGGGAGGCGGCGGTAGTGGAACGGAGGTGAGCTGGAGCAGGGAGCGGTTCATCTACCCCCCCCTTACTTCCTACGCTCCCCCCCAGCTCACCTCCGCTCCGCCTGCTCCCCTGAATGCGACGCCGCTCTGCTTCTCCCCCCTCCCTTGCCTGAGAGGGAGGGGGGAGAAGCAGAGCAGTGGCACGCCCGGGGGAGCAGGGGGAGCAGAGGTGAGCTAGGGCGGGAGGGCCTGCAGGAAGCAATGGGGGCACGCCAGGGGAGGAGGCGGGGCTGGGGATTTGAGGAAGGGGTTCGGAAGGGGTGGAGTTGGGGCTGGGCCGGGGCCAGGGGGCCACCAAAAAAAAAGAGGGGGGGGCAAAAAATTTTTTTTGCTTGGGGCGGCAAAAATCCTAGAGCCAGCCCTGTCTACACCATTCATTATGGCACTGTACTTCCATCATATGTCCTCTTTTCCTTAGATCACTAAGGCTCCTGAATAGTCTCTCGTTATGGAGACTCTCAAAAGCATTTAATATTAAACTTTCTGGTAGTCAGCCATTTACCTGCTTGATACTCTCATCCCTTCAGATTGTTTGTGGGCTTTGGAAGCAATCAGAACACTCAAGGCAATTATTCAACTTTGCCCTAAGTGGAGGTTACAGAAAGAGATATCCACATTTAGCTCCACAATATAGTACTATTAAATTGGACTTTCAAGGAGGGCTTCAATTTTTATTTTATTCTAAAATTATCTTTTCCGTCTGTAATCTGATCCTGCAGTAATACACAAGATCTGGCAAAGATACAAGGAAAGGGAATTTCAAAATAAGAACAGAGCATTTAAAAATTAATATCCAGGTAAATGCACAGTATATAGCTTCCTCAACCCATAATGGTTTCAGGCTTATGCAACTTTCGGTTTTGGCAGAAAAAATATTTTAACTGGTTTCCTAAATAAACAAGCATTGTTGCTACACGCAATACAACATCCTTGAGTGGCGTCAGCACACAATTATTGTTAATTTACAGGATGCACCCATCCCATGAACATTCCTTGACACTTTCGCACGGCATCCAGTAACCCATTGTCTTCCCAACTGCATATAAAAACCTGTACTCTTCCCAAAACCCAGCTATATAGCCCCCATCAAATATTTTAGCTGATCCCTATCATAGTATGAGACCTTCTCCAGGCACGCAAGAATCTATTCTATTTCTCTGCTGTTCCTGTGTGACATGAAGAGCACAGGACCTGCAAGTTCTGTTGACTTCAATGGAAACTGCAGGGACGAGACAGCCACTCAGTACCTCTCAGGATCAGACCCACAGTGTACTTACTGGCAGTCAACAAAGTAATTCTAGCAAATTTCTCCTGGTAATGGTCCAAGCCAATGCCTGACAAATCACTAAGGAAGCAAACTTGTGGTGTATGTACATATTAGATCTTCAACCCAGATAGCACGCAATCTGTTATTTGACTCCAACTTTTGGATCAACCTATGTCTCCGCATGCCCAAATGGCAAATACAAATTGCCATACTGGACTAGTTCAATGGTCTTTCCAGCAGAAGATACAAATCTACTATCTTAGAGAGTCCAATACCAGATATATAAGTAAAAGGTAGAAGAAAATGCGCATAATGGACAATTATATAAGAATTTGCCCATAGGGGAAGTTCCTACCTAAAACTAGTAAGTAAGAAGTTGGTTTATGACTGGAAGCATGAAACTTTATAAATGTATAAACATTTTTATCCTTTAACTTGTTTAACTTTATGTTCTCATTAGCCATATAAATGTCTTTTTTGTTTGTTTTTACTAACCTCCCTGGTCACAATAATTTATTGCATCAGGCATTCGGCAGGTTAATTATCAGTTGTGTAAATATGCGTTTCTTTTTACTACTTTTATATTGTTTGCCTGTCAGTTCTCATTTTCCTATTGCAAAAAAGATTGAATAGGAACATTCAGTTTCAGTTTCTATTTTTCATATTGCATCACTGAAATCCAAAAATCTCCAATTTCCCCATTTTTTTGATTCAACTTTGTCTGGATTAAAAGATCAATGGTATTTTATGGTTGTGGTCTTTCAGCTTTTACATCTAAATTATGCTATAATTCTTCTGTGTTACGCCACTATTGGTCACCCTCCATTGGTCAGTCAGCCCAGTCCCACACTTAGACAGGAATATTACTGTGCCTCTCTGTCCTCTCAGGCACTGAGCTCCTCCTCCTCCTTTTGGTCAGATCAAGAGTCCAGCAAAATTGAATTCCCCTTTGGCAACATCAGTTTGTCCACAGAATGAAAACCAGAATGTGCACACTAAGTCCTGGCTTAGGCTTGACAGTAGTATTGTGTCTGAGAGTCTTACCTTACAAAGGCTGGACTTACTCTCCGTCTACCCTGGGATAATGATTACTATTTTTGAAATGAGCGCAACGTTGATAAAAAAAATTAGTATTTCTGCTTGCCTGTCTCATCCTATTCACCACCCTGTTGCTGAACTTTGTGACGCTAGAGATTCCCGGAGAGGACATAAAGTAATTTCCATCTTGCTTCACTGTGAATCAAATTCGTACTCCAGTGAGTAAAGACCTGGGGATTTGAGCCCATGGGTTTAAACCGCTAGAAAACATTTTTACCATTTAATAGTTAAACATGTTTAAAGACTGCTTTTAAGGGGGAAGAGCTCTTTTGCTGAGAATGGAGTCTCTCAGCATTACTGTCTTCTTCTCTTCATGTTGGAGGGCTTCTTTCCTTGGGAGCTCATTGCCCCCTTCCCCCACTTCCACTGCACTACATTTACCATTCTCAGAATCCACAAGATGTGCAATAAGCTCAGTGCATTGACTGTTTTCCCCCTTGAGTGCCCTAGTCTTTCCTTTTGTAACCCCAGCTCATTTATTTACTCCAATCCATACTGTAGGCTTGATTCTACAAGCCCTCTGTGCATTGAACTCCAGTTGACTTTGTGGGAGCTCCATGCATGTAAGACATCAGATCAGACTCTGTAACTGTAGCAGTGTATATTTCCACAAAAGATAT